AAATGAAAATGAATGTTTTAATATAAGACACTGAACTTTAAGGCTTTACTAGACATAAAAAATAAAATAGTTAATGGAAAATAGAAAAATGTAAAATTTATATGTAACAACATGACATCAAAATATATAGAGTACAAACTGGCAGAACTATAAGGTGATATGGAATTCTATAATCACAACCAAAAGTGTTAAAACACTGTTCTCAGTAATTCACAGACTCAAACAGAAAATCATTATTGATAAAGAATGATCTTTAGTTGTTGGGGACAGTGTTCTATGTATGTTCAGTTGGTCAGATTTGCTAATATATATATCACATGCATGTGTGTGCATGTGACTTGAGTGAGCCAAGTACCAACAAAGAGAATAATAAAGGATGGATAGAAGGAAACAAGTAGATGGATCTCTTGCAACAGGGAAGGGGTCCAAGAAAACAAGGGCAAAGGCTGAGAGGAGGGGAAGGAAGGAGAAATAAGTAGAATAAAGATAGCCATGTACAAGAACCTAATAATCTCAATGAATACAAACATTATATGCTATAACATGAGCTAAGATTAATAATACCAGCAAGAATGAAAATCAGAATAGGAAAATTAGAGGGAGGAAAGGAACAAAGAGGGAAGAGGATTTTAAAAAAAGAAACAACCTGCAGTGTGTACATGTACCCACTCCCCATGATGACCATAAACTGCATGTACTACAAACACATACTAATAAAATTTTAAAAGTTAAACAAAATTATAGAAATCAATAAATAGCCAGAAGATCTTGTTATATTTAGGAATTAAAAACTATACTTCTATAGAAGTATGATTCACAAGAGTCATTTCATGTCATAATTAAAATGCTGACCTGAACAAAAATGAAAATATTTCATAGCACAATTAAAATTAGGCAGAGGGAATTTTAAATCTTTAAATGCATATGGAAAAAAATAAAAACATAGAACTAAAACTAAGTAGAAAGAATTTTATATGCTTAAATACAGATGGACAAAAATGAAAACACTTCATAGTTCAACTAAAACTAGAGGGAATTTTATATCCTTAAATGCATATGTGGGGAATTTTCAAAGCCTGAAAAGTATCCATCCTAAAATGTTTCAGAGTCAGCAAATTAATCCTGAAAAGAAAGAAGGATCACCAAACCAAAAGTTGTTCTCTCAAAAGTGAACTAGTGAACTTAATAAACTTCTGATGAGAATGATAGGGAAAAAGGGAAATAACATATAAATAACCAAAATAAAAAACAAAAGCTGAGCATGGTGGTGCACACCCATAATCCCAGACTCAGGAGCAAACTGTGAGTGTGAAGCTAGCCTGGGCTACACAAGTGAGTTCAAGGCCTGCCTGAATTATACAGTGAAACCCTATCTAAAAAAACCAGAAGAAAAAAGTGTCCCAGAAAATCCTATGAACAGATAAAAAAGGAATATTAGGTATAAATGTACAGAAGCTTGAAATTTTAGATGAAACAGACATTTCTAAAACATAACATTAAAGCTGACTCAAACAACCCTAATTAATCCTACAATGCTTAAAGAAACTGAGTTGATAGGTTAAAAATTATTTCCACTAAGTAGATTTCAAGCACAAATTGCTTCACTGGTAAATTCTACCCAGAATACAAGAAAGGAATAATTCAAATTCTAACATATATTCACAGAACAAGAATAAACTTGATTGACTTTTCAACCTATTATATGACACTGGCATAACACTGATACCTGAAAGGAACATGAGAGGATGTAGAACTGTACGGTCTTCTTGCACATAAAAATAGAAAGAATACTAGCAAAACATTAATCAATCTAAATCCACCAAAAAAAAAAATATAACCCTTGCTTCTTTTTTTATTAATATATGTTTATATTCCCTGGCACTTATCACCGTGTAGGCTCTACCCACCATCAAGCATTAGATTCTCCTAAGAAGCACACAACCTAGATTCCTTGCACGGGCAGTTTGCAGTAGGGTTCAGGCTCCTATGAGAACATGATGTTGCCACTGATATGACAGGAGGTGGAGTACAGGGCAGTATTTTGAGCAATGGGAAAAAGCTGTAAATACAGATAGAAAGTCTTTTTCTTCCCTGTCCTTCACCTCCTGCCAGTAGCGGGGACACCTGTCTTAAATACAGTTAAGTGCACACATACACCATACGACACAGACATCCCATTCCTAAGTTTCTATCTAAAAAGTGAAAGTATATTTCCATGCAAAGATTTACACACAAATGTCCACAGCAGCTTTACCTGTACTACCTTAAAACTATACAGTCCAAATGTCTCGATCACCTGATAAACCCATGTATAAACAAACTGTGGTATATCCATACTATAGACTATTTCTTAGCGGTATACAGATATGCATACTGATGCATCCAATAACACATATGAAATTCAAAACAAGCAGACTGAAAGAAATCAGATAAAAAAGTATAGACAATATGATTCCATTTGTAAAAAACTATCAAAATGTAAAGTAACCTACAGTGGAAGGACTCGAATGCTTATGTGGTGATGAAAATGGAAGCACTGAGAAAGCTGCATTACAAAAGGGTATGGGAAAAATTTAGGAGTGATGAATATGTTCATGACTTTGTGTGGTGATGTCACACATGTCTTTGTGCACACATATGTCAAAACTTAACAAATTGTACATTTCAAATATGTATAACCTATGAGTTATAGTTCAATAAAACTCTAAAAAGGTAAAAACAAATAAATTACATTTGTCTGTTATATAGGCAGCCTAACTCATCTAAAAATTTTAAACAGGTAGAAAGAAAAAAGAAGAGGCCTATAAAAGGAAATTTTATTTCTATAACAAAATAAGCTCTGCAAATAAGGTTTTCAGTACAATTTTTATCTCTGAGTAAAACTTGCCTGTTTCCAGGTAACTTCTTTTCCACATTATTACTAGATGCTACACTGTCAGAGAAGTAATAATTACTGGTTCAGGAATCATCTCTAATAAAATTAAATGTAAATATGTAGATGTTTCTAAGCAAGCAGAAGAAAAATAAATACAGTCTGACACTTCTAAAATATACAGACCACTCTTATAAATCATACTAATTAAAATACTAAATATACTAAAAGTAGTTTTTGTTTCCTCCATTGTAAGAAGCTCAATAGAAACGTTTTTCATTCTAATAAACTTTCCTATTTTGTAGGCAAGAACTTCTTGTTCTTCTCTGCTATGTTTTCAGTAGAGCAGAGGCCAAAAAACACTGTTTACTTCCTTATTTGTCCAATAAGTCGTCAACAGTGAGATCAGCAGCAAACTGAACAACCCTGGAAGGAATGCTTATTAACTAACAGTGTTCCAAGCCAGTTTAGGAGAGCCTATAGCAATACAAAAATATTACTTGGCTCTAAGTTTCAAAAATACAGTATTATCAAGTTTCCTAAATGTTGGTTCCCTTTTAGAACCCAAAAGATAAACTGAGTATTGTACTCAAAGTTGGACACGCTTTTAACAGCTCTTCTTAACCAACTGAGTATACTACTAAAGAGACAGTTTTAAAATGTAATTGTCTTTATAGCCTTATAATTAAATAAAGTTATCTACGGTCTTTTTTTTTAACTTGCCCTTAACAAAATAATGAAACGTATTAATGACAAAAGATGTGAGGCGGGCATGGTGGCGAAAATAATGAAACGTATTAATGACAAAAGATGTGAGGCGGGCATGGTGGCGCATGCCTACAATCCCAGCACTAAAGAGGCTGGGGCAGGAAGATCACTGAAAATTGGAGGCCAGCCTGGGCTACACAGTGAGACCCTGTCTCAAAAAAAAACAAAAAAACACACAACCACCAACTAAAAACCACAGAATTACCTGTATCTCCCCTAGTTTATGAAATTGAAAAAATATTTACTTTTACAAAAAGATTATATATATATCTCCTTTGACTGGTAAGAAACATATTCTATTTCTTCATGCTTCCACGTATATGCTATTTTAAATGTATCAATGGTTTATTTGTAAGTATAATCAAATAAGTCAAAGCAACATAAAAGGCTTAGAGGCATGTTTTTCATTATACTTAACAAAACAGAAGTGGAAACAATTCATTTTAGGTTAACTTTACATTTATAAAGTCAAAGAAGGCAGTATGAGTTCTGTTTTCCTTAGTTGTAAAACCCCCAACACAATATCTGATAGATATGAGTGCCTAATTACCATACAGTAACAGCGATATGCCTACAAAATATAAAAACAAAGCACTAGACATTCATTATCCCTTATTTCTTTTTATAAAAAAATGCACTAAACTCAATTCCACAAGTTTTACATTGAGCACCTATTTTGTTCTTTGTCACTATGAAAGTGACTACAGAAGACTATTTTAAAAAGAAGAATAAAAAGATGTCAGTCTGTAAACAGTCCCTTTTTATTTTAAATAACAAAACACACTGGGTCTTAACTATTGAAATGGTGTCATCTTCCAAAGCAATTACCTTGGGGATTGTAAAATATTTACATTTTTTTCAAAGCCACATACAAGCCACATAAGAAAATCAGCTATTATTAGTGCTTATTCCACAGAGGTTGTTTTAAACACAAATCTCTTTGCTCATTAAAAGTATCTACTAACAACACTGTCTAAAATCCAGTATCTTCTCTCTAAAATTATAGTGCTAAAGACAAAATACTGCCAATTGCCAAAAACACTTGGAAACAGGTGTCTGACACTGAAGGTAATATTAAAAGATTATTTCTAAATTGGTTTATTGCTAATTAAGTAGATGGTTTCCCATGATGACAAATGTAAGCATGTAAGTCTACATTTCTCTATTTTTTTTAAGGCACCATTATATTATGGACCTATCTTATATGAAGGACTTCCATAACCCAAGGAGCTAACAATATTTACAGAGTAAAATTGAAAAAAAAAAAGAAAAATTAGGAAAGAGTAACAACTGACAAAATCCTTTTTGAAAAAGTTTCCTGTATATACTTAAAATTTCCCTAATAATCAAAGTTTCATACCATTTACAGCTTTCTCAATCAATTCTTCACAAGCATCAAAATCACCCTTCAGCACCAGTTTGTCGTGCAGATCTGTTAACATAGGATGTTCCAGGGCTATCTTAGTTTTCTTTTGCAGTGATTCAAAAGCCTCTGTATAGTTGTGTTGTCTGAAATGTTTTAGGCAAAGGCGAATGGCTTCCTGTTCACGGTACTACTAGAACACAAGAGAAAGCATATAGAAAAAAGATTTGCTTAGTTGTACTATAGGAAAAAATAACAGTAAAAATAACTAACCTCAACTCAGCACTATTTGCTGAGCACTGTACTAATCTAATTATCATTATTATCATCTTTTAAATAGAAGAACTGAAGCTTACATCATTGTAGTAATTTTCCCAAAGGAGATGAAACCAGACCTAAGTCCAGAGTCTGAAGTTTGAAAAAAATGTAACTCAATACAGCTCACTTTAACATTGTAAAAATTTTATCTCCTGCAACCTTAACTTATGAAATTACAGTGGAAGTACCAAAAGCACAGAAACCATTAACATATACATAAATATATCATGCTTTTTGCTCTTGCTTAAGAATAAGCTATTATATGAATAAGAATTCTAATTTTATGAACAGGTTTTATAACTCAAAAATTATTTTAAAGAAATTAAATTTTATCAACTGTTAAACAGTATAAACTTGGTATCTCAATTAAACAGAATCCAAAAAGCAGACACTTAATTTATAAACCTCTTCCCCTAACAAAATGAATACCAAAAATAAGCTCATAAAAAGAATTTTTAGCTGGGCCTGGTAGCAAATGCCTGTAATCCCAGCACTCAGGAGGCTGAGGCAAGAGGATCACAGTAGTTCAAGCCCAGCTATGGTGAGACCTATAGTGAAACCCTTTCTCAAAAAAAAAACAAAAACAAAGAACTTTTTAAAAAAAATCAACTGTAAGAATACGTTCTGGGATTAACCTCAAATTTTCTAAGTATACCACTATACAACAAGAATTAACAAAAGTATTACATGATAATCAAACAACAAGGATTATGAGTATTATCCTTCACAGAGGAAGAAAATAAGGACTTGAAACACAAATCTATTTATAGTTAGCTGATTTCTTGACTAATAAAAGGTTATGAAATACCCACTCTTCACATACTGTAATCATCAAATTTTAACCTTATCAAATAATCAAAGAATGATTCTGTATCCATACTAATTTTACATTAATAGTTTTTTTTTTGGTCTCTAAAACAAGATCTATCATTATCCATCTACAGTGCACTATAGTTACATTAGAAACAGTAACACCTGTTTATCATGCTGACTCTAGGGTCTTGATCATATCCATATCTTAAATTTTCTGTCAGTTAATGACTAAGCCACTAAAAGCCATGTCCAAAGTATTTATATCAATATAGGTTAAAAACAAAATTTGGAGGCAAATGGTATAAGATAATGGTAGACTGTGGAACACAGACTGTCTGAGTTTATAGAGAACTTTACAACTGTGTGATTCTGGGCAAAATACTTAGCTTCTCTGTGTTCTATTTCCTCATCTGTAAAATAATAAAGATAATAAATGGACCTATCTCTGAGTGGTAAAGATTAAATGAGTTACCAAGATTGGTTACAAGCTGGCACAGTGCTAATGTTTTAAAATGTTAGTTGATGAATTGCTGTAACTTTTATTATTAATCTCAACATTTTAAATTATTCACAATGAAGATAAGCAATTTCTCTCTCTTTAGGCATAAAACATATGGTCACAATTTTAAAATACAATCCTACCTTGCTGTACCAGTTGAGACAAGGTTGTACTACATCAGGATCATCAATGCCACTAAGTTCAACATACCAGATGCTAAAGTTAAAACTGGGCCCCCAGGACAGGAGTGGAACTTTAAGAAGGGAAAAAAAAATTAACAAATTGCAATAAAATCTTAGCAAACTAAATCACTATTCAAATCTGTAAAGATTTATTCAACAACATTTTCTGTGCATCTCTGTATACACTACGCTACATGCTAAAGCTATAGCAGTAAAAAGAAACATATGACCCATTCCATCATGAGGTTTCCTTAGTTAACAAAACCTGGTAAGATAATTCAAAGTGGTCATATATATATATGTATCCCCAAATAAACAAAACCAGAACCAGGTGACTAAATAGGTAAATTTCATAAAATTTACATGTGAAAATAATTATATTATTTAAACTAAATCAAGAGCATAGGAAAAGATATGACATTTAATTATTTATCAGTAATAACCTGACAAAAAGAAAGAAAAGATACAAGACTAATTCCCAGCCATGAATATACATCCAAATTAAAGAAAAAAAAGATGCAAAAAAATTCTACCAGGTTTTCCTTGTAACCAAATATACTTCATTCTAAGAAAAGGATGATTCAATAATAGGAGCTATATTAATGTAATTTACCACCTTAACAAAATGCTAAAAGAAAAACTTTATTTTATTTATTTATTTATTTATTTATTTGTTTATTTGGTCTACTGGACATTAAACCCAGGGCCTTTCCACTGAGCTACATCCTGAGGCCTTTTCTATTTTTTATTCTGAGACACGGTCTCACTAAATTGCTAAGTGTAGGCTTGAATTTAAGATTATTCTGCCTCAGCCTCCCAGCATACTGTGCCATCAAGCCTGAGTGTTCAATTACTTTGACAGTCTAATAATAAATTAATAAAATGTAAGTTTTAGTCACTGTTTTTTTAAGTCCTTAATATATAATGAATATAAAGAGGAAATGTCCTTACCTAAATGTTTTAAAAAGCATCACAAACTTTAAAAGTTAAACCTAATGAAGACATATTAAATAATTCCACTTAAGTCCCTGAACAAGAGGTCTTAGCCAGTGTGATAAGAAAAAAATTAGATGATAGAAATCATCACCAGGTACAGTGGTACACATCTGTAATCCCAGCATTTATGGAAACTAAGGCAGCAGGAGAGTAAATTTAAATCCTAACTGGGCAACTTAGCATGAACCTGTCTCAAAATTTAAAGGATGCTATTCAGTAGCAGAGTGCCCAAATTCAATCCCAGTACGACCCTGTCCCTAAAAAAGTCACTTGAAGATTGTAGGTAACTCTCTACATTAAAACTTCAAAAGATCAAATGAGATGCATTTTCAAGTTTGTGTACAACATAAACACGTAAAACTCAATTTGTCCTATACTTATAACCAATCAGAAAATAAAACAAGTCACCTTTATAATTGCAAAAAAGGCTGAAAGTACCTCAGAATAAATATAGGAAAAATACGCAATATTTATCAAGAAAATATTTACTGAGAAACTAAATAAATGAAGTGACATTCTATCTTTCTCAAAAGGAAAACTCAATGTAGTAAACATGTCAATTCTCTTGATTATAAATTTAATGTAATCTTAATTTTTAAAATTTTTAGTATATATTTATTTTTCTTGACATGTAACTGAACAAGCTGACCTGAAAAAAGGCACAAGAATATCCACAATAATAAAAACTCTAACACAAGTATACTACAAAGATACAATGATTATTGCATTACTCTGATACTAATCCAGGAAAAGGAAAATAAATTAGTAGAAAAGCGGAGGGAAAAATCTATCCAAAAATCTCTGAAGTGTCCAAAAGAAAGTCACATAGAATGTACTAAAATATCAGTAACAACAGAACAGCACAGAAGTTTTTAAAACATGACCCTTGGACTTCTGGAGATTCCCACAATACTTTCTGGCATTTTCAGATGGTCAAACTACTTTCTGTAACAATACACAATAATACTATTTTAATAATACTAACACTGGCATCAATGGTAAAAATGAAATGGTTAGTAAAACTGCTGACACCCTGGTAGCGAAGTTGTGGCACCAGAAGTATTAATAGTTCTTAATCCAGTACAAGTTGCACTGTATTCCTCACCATCATATACTTAAGCACTTTAGTAAAAAAGAGACTTCATTTAAGGATGTCTCTAGTGATGCAATGCAAATTAGTCTTCTTAAATCCCTATGATTAAGTATACATCTTTTTAGTATCCTGTGTGACAAAATGCGAAGCACTAAAGGGTTTTTATTCTACAACAAAGCATAATGGTTATCTCAAGGAGAACAACTGTATACAACCATTTCCGTTATGAGCTAAAATAAGTGGGTCTTTTCTTGCATGGGAATAAATTATTCTTGAAAGAAAAAGTGACTGATAAACTGATTATTCAGATTTGGGTATTTGTTAGACATTCAAGAAAAACAACTAAAGATATGGTTGCTGAAAATAAAACTCAAGTTTTTAAGCAAGTATTAGAATTTTGGAAAATTAGTGTCTAGCAGTTTAAACTTAACTAGTTCTATAAGATTTTTCTGATTGGAGGTAAAATTAATGAAAGTCATTTTAAAAATATTATATAATGAAATGTTTCAACATTTGAAATATCTGTATAACTCAGTGAACCGTTTTCTAAATGACCAATGAATGGCCTCATAAAACCACACATGGATACAAAGTCCAGGACAGACACAATATCCAACTGCCGGACCCACCAATTTCAAAGTTCACAGCTCTTTTCATTACATCAAATATAAAAGGAACTAAGAAATATGGGTCAGATACTTTTCCCATACTGTTAAAGGAAGGCTGAGTGAGTAAAGACAGATACAAGAGTAGCAACTAACTATGTGAATACATGAAGCACTGTGACAATGTTTAATATGATTTTCAGCTTACATGAATAAACAAAACTTTCCAAAAGTTTTCTATCAACAAGTCCTAAATTTTCAACACTGTTTTTACTCTCCCTTTCCTCTTCCTTCTCCCTCCCCTCCCTTGTTCTCCACTTCTCCCCTTCTCCTGCCCTTTCTTTTTTTCTTTTAGAAGTACTGAGGATTGAAACCAGGGCATTTGCATTGAGCTATACCCCCAAGGCCTTTTTAAAATTTTTGAGCATACTGTCTTTGTTGCTCAGGGTGGAGTCAAACTTGAGATCTTCCTGCCTCATCCCCCCAGAGTGATGAAATTATAGACATGCATCATAATACCCAGTTTATTTCTTTGTATAGCACTGACATTTAAAAGTCTACTATATCACATAGCAATAACCACCAAGTAGTATGAGTCAGAATAAAACATGAGTCTAATCCCAGAACCACAAAAATATATCTTATATATGTGTGTGTGTGTGTGTGTGTGTGTGTATATATATAAACCAGATACACAGTATTAGAGGTTCAAGTTCAATAAAATTAAGAAGAGGGGAATCTTCCTATTATATTTATTAAGTCCAGCTGATACTTATATCTATTAAGTATCAATTCCACTATGGATTAATAACTACACAAAGCATTTAGCAAAGTAACTGGCACATACTAAGTACTCAATAAAATATACATTTGTTAGAATAGTTAAACAATTTTACTCCAATGAGATTTACTCTGTACACCAAGTGGCCCAGTAGAAATATTACTAAATAAAATTTGTTCTATTTTTTTAGTACATTTGAAAGAACATAGGGGAGAAAGGTAAATTACGAAGTCATCCAACAAAGGATAGCTCACATTACAGATAAATGAACATATAATGAGTTAACAGATTAAAGGAATTTGTACAAAAGGACAAGATGATGGTCTCTAGGAGATTCTACAGTTCAACAAGTCCTCCCAAAAGACCAATTGAACATAGACACAATCAAGATCTATGCATCCTTTTCATAAAATGGGATACATACAGCACACAAGGGTAATAGACTAAGACTCCTGCTGAGGCGTAATTGGCATATCCAATGTGCTTTAGCAAAATCACTTAAGAGCTCTTTTGTGGATGACTAAAATAGCCATTTCCAGATGCCTGTCATTTTTTTTTTTTTTTTGATGCCTGTCATTTTAAGATCAGGTTCCAGAAGATCCTAAAAATTCAAGATTAACTACTCTGAAGAAGTATCAATTCCACTATGGATTACTAAGTATACAAAGCATTAAGCAAAGTAACTGGCACACACTAAGTGCTCAATAAATGCTAGCCTTATTATCATTCATATTCTTAATTTTCCTTTCAAATGTATTTTTAAAATGTCACCTTCCCATACACTCTCATAAAAGGCCATACATACCATGCAGAACCAGCATACCTTCCAGATTTAGGACCCATCCTAGACTTCCACACTCCTGAGATTCAGAATACATGTCACATCCAGTCCGAACTGAAGCCTCTCTGAAGCCCCCACAATTTGCACTCCAAGTGACTCTGTTACAGAAGTCTACTGTCTCCCCAACTAACAAAAACCAACACTCCTGCTAGAATACTTCCAAGACTCAGTATCTCTTTCTGCTTTCTTGCCAATTTCCTCAGTTAGCTATTACCATCCTATGAATGAAAATGTACATTCTTCCAGTCACTGGCAAGCAATACCCTCATCCCGTGTCATCTTAGGTTTCCTGTCCTCTTATCCTATCTCTCACTGGGTTTCTTCATCCCAAACTTTTAATTTGGGGCTGGGGATTTAGCTCAGCAGCAAAGCGCCTGCCTGGCAAGTGCAAGGTCGTGAGTTCGGTTCCTGGTACCGGAGAAAAACCAAAAAAAAAAACCCAAACTTTTAATTTACTTTCTAGAATCTAGACCCCAGTTAATGATGCTCCTCCTTCACTAAAATTTCCCTATCCTTCTAGGTCTTACCTGAAACCAAGATTCTTTCTCTCCACTTCCACACTAAGTCCCATCAAAAACAGTACTCCAGTAAGAGCTCTTTGCCTTGTGTCATGATCCCTTTTCGCCACTTGGTAAAATCTATGACACACCACCCTTAGTTTTAAATGTATAAAGTAAAACACCCAAAACTGCAGAGTAAATTAATTATATTAAAATACAATTATAATAAGATAAAAATTATTATAAGAAATTAACATGCTTCTATTAACACATTAGATAACAAGATCTAGTGAAAGGTCTAATATTTAACCATAATTTTAAAGTTGTGATAAAATTTGCAACACTAATGTGACAGGAAAAACTTGTAACTTTTATTTGTAACTTCTAATCTCCGACAAATCACAGATACTACAACTATTATTAGTTATTATTCATAACTGAAAGAAATGCCAAATGTTAGTGAGCAGTTAGAAAACAAAAATGCAACTTTTTCCTCAGCAAATTCACGAAGTCACTGATTAATGCCCTAAAATTCTTAAGTAATTCAAAAAGTAATAAAATACATACACAAATGCCTACACTGAAAGCAGGTTGTGTGCCAATTTTGAAATTTGAGGAAACAGAACACGGTTGCTCTAAGGATTTTGCAATCATTCTGAGGAAATAATACATGTATCACATGGTAAGCGAACTTGACCTTTGGAAGTAAACAGACTTGAGTCTATATCCAATCACTACAGTTTAGGACTTGTATGGTTTTAGCCAAAATGTTTAACCTCAAAACTTCAGATTCCCAACCTGTAAAGTGAGTACAATAATACCTGTCACTGAGTGTTAGGTGTTTCCCAAATGGTACCTATTGTTACTTAAAAACAGTACAGCGTTACACAGTCCAAAAAATGTTACACACCTACTAAGTTCTATGTCTTGACCATCATGTGTTAGCTAACTTATATGACTTCTGCCCATTTCTTCAACTAAAAACAGGAAAGATTTCTATCTGCTGTTAGATACCACATGTGAGAAAGCCCTTACAAAACTATCTAAAACAGGGCCAGGGATATAGCTCCGTGGCATCGTGCCTGCCTGGCAAGCACAAGGTCCTGAGTTCAAGTTCCAGCAAATTATACCCACACAGATTCTTTTTCTATAGAACCTAAAATACTATGTGTTAAAACGTGTACAAAAAACTACCTACGAGACATTTAGATTTTCTTTTTTTTTTGCTTTTTTTCCAGTACCAGGAATCGAAGTCACAACCTTGCGCTTGCCAGGCAGGCGCTGCGCTGCTGAGCTAAAGCCCCAGCCCAGAGACATTCAGAATAAAATAATTTCCTTCATAAATGGGATCTTAAAATTTAATAGACTACCAATAGCTCCACAAATCAAAACAGAACTCAAGAAAATGTCCAATATAACTACCTACCCTATCATTAGGCAGAAAAAGTATTATCATCCTCATTTTATACAAGAGGTAACTTTAAAAAGGAATATAAAATTTACCTGAAAGAAAGCAGCCAGTTATAGCAATTTTAACAGAAAAATAACAAAATTATCTACATATTAATATTCTAAATACCACATATAAGTGTCCAAAATTATTTGGAGACTCTCTGCCACATAGTAAAACTGAGATTCCTTATCTTGTCAATAATTTGTGATCAAATTTACTCTAAATGCAAACCTAATTAATAAGATATGCTCATTATAAATGAAAATCATAATTAGATGTCACTACATGATTTGGAGACAATCTGTCATTGAGTTAAAGTTCCTTCTATCTCCTTCCTTTAATATGAATAACTAAAAGTAAACTATATAATTTGTGTTATTTAAAGATAAACTTGTTTAAATAAATCAAGTTCTTTTAAACTGTATCACTGTAGGACATACATGTGAAGTAACCAAAAACTTTTAAGATAAATTCTAGCCATTAATCCCAACCAGTTAAACAAATATCTGTACTAAAATACAGTTCACTAAAACAGAGCTACAGATCACTCTTTTATCAGAATGAGATTTTAAGAAATATGGTGATAAACCAAAATACTAACATATAGTCTTAAAGTTTCATGATTTCCTTACATTAATTTCAAAGACAATTTATCAAGAAAATGTTGGGAAAAAGCTGGAAAACACACACACTGTAAATCAGTATTAATATCTTTTAACTGTCCAGAAATATGATACTATCGGAATATTCTGAATATCAAACGAGCTAATACCTATTTTGTTGAATACTCCAATTAACACTCCATCTAAATACCATAAAACTAACCTGGGTCAAGTAAAAGGTATCCCCTATTATAACAAGGTTGATAGTGAGAATGAAGAAATAGTGTTCATAAGGTACAAAGATTCAGTTAAATAAGAGAAGTAACTTTTAGAGACCTACTGTACAAAATGGTGACTATAATAATAATGTGTTGCATACCTGAAAATTGCTAAGAGTACATCTTAGAAGTTTTTAACACACACATATACACACAGTGTATGAGGTAATATGCAAGTTAATTAGTTTGATTTAATCAATTCACAAAATGCACATATACAAACATGTTGTACATCATGAATATATACAATTATTATTTATCAATTATATTAATAAAGCTGGGAGAAGTGCACACACCTAATTATTCAGCAAAAACCAGGAAAAAGGAAGGAAAAAGGCTGTTACAGAAGGTAAAAAAGAGCTCTACTGTCTATAGGTTTAAAATATAAGATCACAAAATTGATAAACTTATGTGATGGCCTTTAGGAATTTGGGCAGACTAAATACTGATGAATGAATTACTAGTTCAAAAGAAGGAATAATGAATAACTAATTTCAAAAAGTTTTAAAATAAATTACTACAAGAGAACAGGATACAACTTCTTATCTACAATTAGTTGTAACAGAAACAACAGTTACAAAAGAAAAATAATGCTCTAAATATCCAACTAATCTAAAAGTAGTTTTTCCTCAGCAGTCTTTAACACCTCAGGTATTCTTTTTGCCAGCATTTCAGTTGGACCAGTGGTTATACAGAAGAAATTTTACTAGAACACAAGTGCTCTATAGATTTTAATAAAAGGAAATTTTTATTTTTGTGTAATACTGCACAAGTAGATATAAAGAAAATATAAAAAGCACTCTTCTTACTTCCATGAAAAAATAAAACTAATAACAAAATTAGAGGAATAGAACAGTTAACACACTGAATGTTTTGCTAGGACTTGGGGTAGATATAATATTTTCTATTATGAATAGTATATTAGAATCTCATATATTCCTTTTGACTTAATGAAATTAACAGGCTTACCCTTAGTAGAACGACACACGATGACTATGAAATACATTGTAGGATTCTGGATTTTATTATCATTCTTTGTGAAATTTGACTCATTTTAATATGATATTTTCAAAAGTGTACAACAGAGATGAAAAGAAAAAGATTCAAGTCGTCAACTTCCTACCTTCTAAATGATAAAACCTAAAGGAAATCAAAATAACCTAAAATTTACTATTTTAGAGGATGCACTACAAATACTTTCTTTAAAATACTTTCTAAATAAATATATGTCTTAAAGCAGTATTTTTCAAACAGTGCTTTGCAAAATATTAGTAGGCCAAGAAATCAGTGTAATGGGTTTGACCACTCAAAAAAATAAAATACGAAACAAATCAGAAATTTACTACACAGATTGTCTTAAGGAATTCTACTATATTTGGTTTAGAATGTCATAATTTAGAATAACTGATAAATTCATAAAACAATTAAGGGAATCAAACCACTTTATCTCATAAAAACTTCTTAGAAAGCCTTCAAATGAGAAAATACTTGAAAGAAGCTCCACTTGAAATTACAAACACTTAGTAATGGAGTTAGAAATTAAGAGATACAGAACTTTTTCTGTAAAAGGTCAAACAGTAACCTTTTGAGCTTTGTGAGCTATATGGTTTTCTTCTAAATATTTGCCTCTGTATTTCGAGCACAAAAAGAAGCACAGACAGTATGTGCACTGACCAGTATAGCAGTCTCCTGTAAAATTTTACTTAAAAATACAGGAGGCCTGGAGGACTTGGTCATAACCCATATGTAATTTGTAGGCCAACGGCATAAGGAATTTGTTTCTATATCAAAAGGCTGAAACCTTACCTATCTTAATGAATCGACAAGGGAACATCTGTTCATCAATTTTATGCTTCAAGGTGAATGTTTCTTTGTTATAATCATTCTTTAAACCACTGTAAGAAAAAAAATAAGGTTATCAAATTTGGTTTTATAATTTAGCAACATCCTAAAACACAGAATAATGCCATATTCAAGACTTTAAATTTAAACCAATATTCATAATATTTTCTCAAGACAGCATAAACACATAAACACAGAAAAATAGGCCAAAACTTGTACATGTAACTGCAACACAAATGCATACCTGAGGGCTAATGAAAAACATTCAGTGTTTACGAATGTGGCTATAGTATATAGGAATGCATAACAGAACCTAATGTCCTTAACATATTACTGAACGTGACATAAAATTTCTAAGGTATATGAAGAAAAAATTTTTCTTAAATTAAAAAAATTTACTCTCTATTTGATCACTTTAAAGCTATATACTAGAATTTATCAAAGAATTAAATTGCTTAATTCTCAATGATGTCAATATTCGTTTTAGAAACTTTTCAGTCGGTCTTATTCTGTAGGTTTAAAATCATTTACTTCCTCCTAAACACAAATTAATCCATATTATCTACTTATTTAACCAAATAGCACTGACACAAGTATTTACAGAGGAATCACTTCCCTTTCAGGTTTGCTTTAACCTCCAGAAGTACTTCTGCAACTCAAATCAAACACAGCAGTATTATTTGCTTATATAAAGTATGGTGTTAGTGGACATACCATATCATTGATATAATCTACGTCTCCATGGCTTTATTTGTCCCTTCCATTAACTTCAATTTTTCATTTTCTGAGGTACAATTTAACACTCTTGGTGCTCTGTTTTAAAACTCAAATTTACTGAGCTCTTTCCAAAAGGTAGGCACTGTAGTAGATATAGTCACATAATTTTTCATTTACAGAACCTTCTTGTTGGTCTCCAACTTACTATGATTATGCCTATCAATGTTCTGGAAAGGGTCTACATTTTTACAGCAAGGATTTTTTTCTCCCCAGCCTCTGCCCTGTTCACTAGCACAGAGTTTGATTAAAGCTGAAAATGTCTCAAAAGTTAGTCACAGTTCAAAATTATGACTAAAACAGAAGGGAAAAAAAAATGCAATCTTTCTTCACTGCTAGCAATAGTTACTAGTATCTGGTGGTTAAAAATAAAAAAGCATTATTAAAATAAAGAATGAGGAGCAAAATAGAAGAACGTTCTTTACTCCCTTGAAGAAAACCCACACAGACATAAAGAAATTAAAACTGCTATTTGCTTAGAAACTTTCTTCCCCACAGCATAACTCACCTAGACAATAGCTCTGTCATATTTTCTTCATTCATTCCACCAAAGACTTTAAATTTCTTCAAATTGCAGACATGCGTTTTCTCATATTTCCCAAATGTGATATTCTGAACTATAGCAGGCCTTTCAAGCTTCAGAATCAAGTACTAAAAAAAGAAACAATTAAATTTTACTCTCTCTTTCAGACAAACAGACTTAAAATTGAAAAGTTTTAACATTAAAAGAAAAATGAATAGGGTCCATCCTGCACTGGCAGGATTTGTTTTTTAAGCTAAAGAACAGTATACAACAGCTTTATAAAGGGTATCAGATCATCACCACTTTTTCACACTAGGAGGGTCTAGAAGCTACATGAAACACTGTAAATAGAGGAGAAAAAATGAACTAGTGAGATAACTTCTAATCAAAGAATAGTACTTAGGGGCCAAGGATATAGTGCAGTGGCACAAGCATCTGCCTGGCAAGCACAAGGTCCTCAGTTCGATTCCTGGTACCAAAAAAAAAAAAAAAAAGGAACTGTACTTAGTAAAAGATATAACCACACTGTGAATAACCAACTAAAATGAGATTAAAACTCAAAAATTACAATTACATATCCCTATGGATTTCATTAGCTAAAATTGTTGTTTCAAATCAGTGATAAAATTTTAAACCCAAAAGTAAGTTTGGATATTTACTACCAATGCTGCCAATTTTACAAGTTAAAAAACCCAGATCTACTACTACTGGTCAATACAATAGGATCAGTTAGATAGAAAAAAACATTATCTACACTCTTTTCAATTATAGAAATTGAGGGAAGTTACCACTGATTGAATACATGTGAAAAAAGCTAGTCAGAAAAAACAATTCAGATGTTTTGTTAGAGAGACTTTATGCTTCGATAATAATGAATATAGGTGGCAACAATAAAAAAATGAAGCTGGTAGGCCTACCTTTACATAAAAATTAACTCAAAATAGATCAAACCTGATCCCAAATTGATCATTTATGATCAAATACCTAAAAGTTAGAGCTAAATTTAAAAACTCTTTAGAGAAATCTAAAGCAGAGGGGTAAATATTCAAGACTTTGGATTTGACAAAGAATTTGTAGACATGATACGAAAGTATAAACAAGAGGTATAAAAATTAGAATTTATCAAAATAAAAGCTTTTGAGATGGATATGGTTGCACATCTCTTTAATCCCAGCATTCTGGGACTCTGAGGCCAAAGGATCACAAGTTGAAATCCAGCCTGAACAACTTGGCAAGAATCTGGTCTCAAAATAAAAATTTTTAAAAGGTTGCTGGCAAGCACAAGGTCCTGAGTTCGATTCCTGGTACAAAAAAAAATTTTTTTTAAAGGGATGGGATGTAGCTCAGTGTACAGGCCCTAGTTTCAATTTCCAGTACTTGAAAAAAAAATTAAATCTCTAGTATCAAAGGACACTATCAAGAAAGTGAAAAGACAACCTACAGAATGGAGATTTGCAAATCACATACTTGATTAGAGTACAGAATAAATAACTTACATCACAATTTTAAAAGGTGGGAAAAGTTCGGTTCTTTCTCCAGTGAAAATAAACAAATGGCCCATCTGCTTAACATCATTAGTCATAATGAGAATCCAAAGCAAATCCACAGTGAAATGCCACTTTATATCCACTAAGACAGAGACAGGAAGCGAGGGAAGGAGGGAAAGAGGTGGGGATGCACAACCCATCACATAAAGAAACAAAAATTTGCAAAGATATGGACAAAGTGAAATTCTTATATATTGCTGGTAGGAATGTAAAACAGTACAAACACAGTAGAAAATAGTTTGAAGGTTCCTCAAAAAAGTTAAACAGAAGTACTACATAACTAACAAGTACACACTCAAAGGAAGTGAAAAGTACTTATTGAAATAAACACGTGAACATGCATGTACAGCAAAGTATTATTAACAACACCTCAAAGGCAGAAACAACCTAAATGCCTACACAATGATAAATGGCCAAAAAAATGCGATACCTCTATACAGTACAGCATCATATAGCCACAAAAAAGAATAATTACTGGTATGTGCTACAATATGAATTAACCTCAAAACCTTGCTAAGAGAAAGAAGTCAGATACAAAAGGTCACATATTATATGATTCCATTTATATAGCAAGTACAGACTAAACACAAAAAGCAAGAGCTGGGCATGATGGCTCATGCCTATAATCCCAGCACTTGGGAGGTTTAGGCAGAAGAATCACCGCGTGTTTGAGGCCAGCCTGAACTGCACAGTGAGACCCTGTCTCAAAAAAAAAAAAAAAAGCACAAAAAGTAGATTGATGGTTGCCAAGAGGTAGGTAAACTGGGAAAGGAGAGCCAGGCATGGTGGCGTATGCCTGTAATCCCAGCACTCAGGAAAATGAGGTTGGAGTACTGCTCTAAGTTCAAGGCCAGCCTGGGCTATATAGTGAGTTCAGGCCCAGCCTGAACTACATACCAAGACCCTGTCTCAAAAATAAAAAGGAAAGACTGAGTATAAGGTTTTCTTCTGTGCGACAAAACCATTTGGGAGCTACAGAGAGATGATAGTTGGACAATTCTATAAACATACTAGATAGAACTGAATTACACATTTTAAAATGGTTAATTGCATATTGAATTTTGCTTCAATTTAAAGAATGATTTCACACCACTCTGAAATTGAGGTGTCAGCAGTATCGTGCACCCTTCAAAGGATCTAGAGAAGGGGCCCTTCTTTGTCTTTACTAATATCTGAGGCTCCTGATGGTTTCTGACTCCCGGCAGCCTACCTCCAATCTCTGCCTCCATTTCACAGATTTTTTCCCTGTGTCTTGTGTCTTCTCCCTTTCTATGTATAATAAAGACACTTTGCATTGAATTTAAGGCCTACCTAATCAAGGATGATCTCAACTAGAGCTCCTCACCTTAATTACATCTGCTAAACAATTATTCAAATAAAGTCACATTCTTAAGGGTCCCCACATCACTATTTCTTTGGGTAGAGCGGGGGAGGGAAACTATTCAACTCACTGCACAGAATTAGCCCAGAAAAAAAAGTAACAAAGGCTTATGAAAATGAGTTCTAGGTCCTATTAAAATGTCAGGGTTAAATGGAGCCTAGTAAGCAAGGCAGAAAATGGAATGTGCTGAGGATGAAGAGGTGGGTAGCCACCAGATCACTTAATGTGTGCCATTATGTGGGTTTCAAACTATAAACATGCTGGGATCTATTTAGACATAACAGAAAGCCACAATCCGACAACACACACTAATATACATAATCTACTTTGTGAAGAACAGATTAGAAGAAGCTGGAGACCAGTTACAATGTTGTTATAATTCAGACAAATAAGATGAAGGAGATTAGGACTGGAATGGTATGGAGTTGGCGACAACTGAACAGTTTTGACATAGTACTGCAGAAATAATTGGCAGGATGGATGACTGGATGTAGGAAGGGAAGAGGAAGGTATTGAGGATAATGATTTAGTTTCTCATTTGTATGTACTCTGAAGAGAAGGACTGGCAGACAGACAGGAAGAATAAAAGTGAAAGTAGTCAAGTCCAGACTGTTTGTTTAGGAATGTCTGAGGCTGTGTATAAATCACCCTAGTATCTTAAAAACAATAGTGATTTATGATTTCTCATGATTCTGTGGGTTCACTAGGCAGTTTCTGCACAGGTATCTCCATGTACTGAGACTTATTCATGTAGCTGTATTCAGCTGGTGGGTTTGGCTGGCAAACTGGGCCCAGTTGGGGTGTGAGGAGGCTGGGCTTAAATGGGACTGGGCTTCTCCTTGCCAGCTTTCATTCTCAAGAAGGTTATATGGGGTTTCCTCACAGGTGTCTCAGGGTTCTAAGAGACCTTGCTAAGAAATTACAATTGAATTTTCTGTTGGTCAAAGTAAGTTACAAGGCCAGCCAAGATTCATGACACAGGAGAACAGACTGCACCTCCTGAACTGTAATTTGTGACTATGTTAAGAAATTTGGGCTCTATTCTGAGAGGAGTAAAGGTAACCGTAAATCATACATCTGATAAAGTACAAATGAACATAAAAATTCTCAAAACTCAACAAGTGAACAACAAATTTAAAAACTGACAGACTATTTAAAGACATTTTACCAGAAAACATTCAAGAAGGCAAACAAGCATAAAAAAAGATAATCATTGTTAGTAATTTTTAAAAATGCAAATTAAGACCACAAACACAGGTACAGTTTTATCAATATACCTTTTATTTTTACTAGCCCAAAACTAAAAATCAGAAATCCAATGCCCATCAACACATATAAAGATGAACAAACTATGAGACATTCATAGCAGAATTAAGCTAGGCAGTATTTAAAAAAAAAAAAAAGGATGCATTACTGATACAAACTATACCACAAATGAATCTCAATTATTTTGAGTTAAATAAATTAAACAAAAAACAAATACTGTACTGCTCTCTTTATACAATTCCCTAGAAAATGCAAACTATAAAATCTAGGAAATGCAATCTGCGGTGAAAGAACACCAATCAGTGGTTGCCTGGAGACAAGGGTGGAGGTGGGTGGAAGGGATTAAAATGGAATATGAGAAACTTATGGAGGTAACAGATATGTTTAGTATCATGAGTGTGGGTATTTTCAAGGACATATATTTATGTGAAAGCTTACTAAATTATATACCAAAAATGTATGTCAATTATACCTCAACAGGCATTAAAAAATAAATAAAAGACACAGGTAAGCCACAAACTGACAGAAAATATCTGTAGTACATAGCTGAAATAGGACTTATATCAGGAACAGATATAAACAATTCCTGCATACAATTCAATACTAATCAAAAAGTAAAGAACCTCGCACATTTACAGGTAAAAAATTCATTAAAAAGCTAAATGAACATTTAATAAACAAATGGAAAAAACACCACCTCACACCAATAATTACTAGAATTAAAATGTGTGTCAATATCAAATGTTAGTGAGGCTATGAAGTGACAAATCTGACAATTTCATATAAAATATATTCCTACCTTATGATACAGCAATTCTAACTTTAGCTATTTACCCAAAATAAATGAAAACATACTATTTTTTAAATCTTACAAAAGAATGCCCATAAAAGCTTTATGCATAATCATCAAAACAAAAACTCCCACAGTCCCTAA